TAATGTCTAGGGCTAGTGTGGCAGTTTCATGATCATCAGGGACCGAGGCTCTTGTGGCTTTACTGGTCTCAACATGAGGCTTCCACCTCATGGTTGAAGGTGACCGCTGCAGGTCTAGCCATGACGTGGGCAGTTCACCCCATAGGAAGTTGGAAAGGAAAGAAGGAGAGAGTCCTTCCCTATAAGACCATTTCCTGAAGGCCACATATCCATGTCTGTACATGCCTTTGACCAGAATGCAGTCACATGACCACACATAGCTTCCAGGGAGATTGGGCAATGTGTCCTATTTTCTGGGTGATCAGGTACTCAGCTGAAAATTAGGAACTCTCTTCTGTAGAAGAGAGGGACCGTGGATTGGGGGAGATAACTAGTGTTCTCTGCCAAAACCTGGTACTCTGCCACCTTTCAGTAACAACAGGCAGGTCACCCAAGATATGGCTGCCCGGCGATGTTGAAAACATTAAAACAGTGACAGTTTTGAAATCGTTCTGGTCACCTCTACTTCCCCCATACTTCCGCAGCTTTCTCCTCCTCCCACCCCCACCGACAGGACCGTAGTCCAGTTCACCATCATCTCTTACCTGGACTTCTGCAGGAGCTTTGGACAGGTCTCCTTGCCGTGACTCCAGCCCCCCATAGTCCATCTCGCTGGTATAATTGAGCATGGTCTCTTAAGGAAAAGTTCTATCAGGCCATTCCATTGCTCAAGATACCTATTTTTGCCATTATAATGCACACTTTCTTGCCCAAAGTTCTGAGGGAAAAATAAGGATACACATTATATATGGGTATGATGACTTCATGTCATGGGTGGAATAATCCTGTGTATGATGTGCACAAAAATGTGGGGGCACATATATACACAGCACAATACGGTATTCAGTTTGCTACTTGGTTAAAATGATGTGCAAATCCCACCTTGGCCTACAAGGCTCCCCAGCATCTGAAGCTGCCACCTCTCTGAACCTGTCTCCTTCCTTCTGTGTTTTGAACACCAAGCCTGGGCCTCCCTTTCCATTGCTCTGTCTCTGCTGCAACCTTCCTTCTTCAACTCCTTTGCTGGCTCCCTCCCAGCACGAGTTAGGTCCCAGCTCAGACATCCCAGCCTCGCACCCGCCTTCCCCAGCTGCCCAACACACATCCCCTCCGGTTACTATCAGCCCTCACTCTGTCTTAATAACTTGTTGGTTTTTTATTGTCTCTTTCTAGGTACATGAGTCTCTCTAGTACTGGAAGGGTTTAGCGTCTCTGTTCCATGACCTTCTTCAGGGAATCTTTGCTTTCCCTGGAACTTATTTTTTTTAATAGACAAAAGAATAATGCACTTTATTTAACAAATCCTAAAATGTATCCTCTTCCTTACCACCTACTGCATCAAATCAAGCATCTTCCAGTAGGCCCCCCTCTCCAATCCCCTGGCCTTTTGCTCTAGCCTGGACCACCACTTCTTTAGGCTGCTGTGCTCAGCTGTCCCCGGAGTTCCCTTCCCCACACTGATGGGGTAGAGCCCCAAGGACAGACCCTGTTTTTCTCCTTCTTGCTTTAATCCTAGAATTACATGTTCAACTTTGTTTAAAAAAAAGACACGGGAGGTAAACTCTTCAAGTCCTTGAACATCTGCAAATGCATTTGTTCTCTCTCACTTGGTTGGCGGTGAGGCTGGTTCCGGAAGCACCGATCTAGCATCCGCTGCTGCTGAGGAGAAGTCAGTTGCCACTGCAGTTCTGCTCCCTTCGTTTGCCACCTAATTTTTTCCTGTCTTCTCTGTCCTTGATATTCTGAAATCTCAACAGGTAAATGTCACTAGTATGGGTTGTTGTTTCGTATTAAGCAGGTGCTCAATGAGTTCTTAATCTGAAGGCAATGCACGAAGCCATATGAAAAATATTTTTGTTTAAGAATTTTTTCTTTTTTTTTATGGGAGGCTTATTAATTTTATAGAAAATCTCCTGGATTCATTCTGTACATGCCTTATCTTTTCTCACCTACCTTTTCTCTCATGTTCTTTATTCTAGGCTTTGAGCGACTTCTATCATTTTATATTCTGCCTCCTTTAATTTTTTTATTTCTCTGTCATGTTTTTTAATTCCCAGTGTCTCTTTCTTAGTCTCTGATTGTTTCTTTTTTATAACAACCTCCTCTTGTTTCATACAAGCCATATCTTCTCAAATCTCCCTGAAGATACTAATAGAATTTTTAAAGATTTCTTCTGCTATTTGATTTATGTTTCTTCCTTTGGGATTAGTTGTCCCATTTGTTTTTCTTGTCTTTTCCCTTCCATAGTGCTGCTTTTCCATGAAAGTGGTCCTTGATTACCCATCCAATGAGATTAATTATTCTGGGTATTTGTCACTGGATCCTTTGCTTTGTGTGTATAAGTGTGGTCCTTCTGTAAGGTGTGGTACTAAAGGGCCTCAGTGTAGAGAATGAGGGGAGAGAGCCAGGTATTAGGCGGGGGACTCCATGAGAACCAGTATGACTCGAATGGCAAAACCCTTGTCCAACACTTCATACATTTTCTTTAGGGATATTAACCCTTTTTTAATGGGGTGGAGTGTGTGTGTGAGGGGTAAAACCAGGCTGCCGGTCACTCCACTGTGGTGGGTGGAGACAGCGTGTGCTGTGGCACAGGTGTGGTCCAGCACCTGCTTTTACGCCGCTCTCGAGCACAGAGCCTCTCGGAGCTGCTGAGAAGGCTGGAGTCCCACCCAGTGTCGTCCCTTTCCCAAGGACGTCCGGACTGGGGCTTCCCCTGCCCTCTTTTCTTCATTGACATGCTTCTGCTTTCTGTCTTGTAGAAGTTTGTTAATCTCTCTCTCTCTTTTGTCCCTTTCTCCCTGTCCTGTTCTGTTCATTGTTCTGTGTCCTATTCCCTTTGGTTTCCTTCTTTTTCTTTCTTCCTTTTTAAAAAAAATCTACCAGGATTAAATTTGAGTTTAAAAAAAAGTCCAAGTAGCAGTAACCTTTAAAAGAATGTTGGAGGGGTGTAGTTTTATCCTGTTAAAAAACAAGTCTGGAGTCCTGGCTAATTGGCTCAGTGGATTGAGTGCCCGCCTGCAAACCAAAGGGTCACCAGTTCAATTCCCAGTCAGGGCACAAGTCTGGGTAGCAGGCCAGGTCCCCAGTAGTGGGTGCAAGAGGCAACCACACATTGATGTTTCTCTCCCTCTTTCTCTCTCCCTTTCCCTCTGTCTAAAAATAAACAAATAAGGAAAAGAAAGAAAAGAAAAGAAAAGAAAGAAATCTGGAGGCAGGCAGGTTGCAGCTGTGGCAGCTCCATGAGGCTGTCGGGCACACTGGCTCCTCCTTTCTCTCTGTCTAGTCAACTGGACCATCTGGCTCCCATCTTGAGAGCGGCCTCATGATGGCAGATGGTCATGAGTACGGTAGAAAGAAAAAGCCAGCTGAGTTTGCGCCACCTTAAAAAAGTTTCTATGAAGAACTTTTCTCAGCGACTTCTGATTACCTTTGGCTTCCACTCTCTGCAAGGGAGTTTGGAAAATTTCGGTTCTTAGCTAAACCTAGCAGAATTCATTATTATTCTCAATAAGATAGTTCTGTTGGTGAGTACGATAAGAAAAATGGGTTTGGACTTTCAGCCAGCACTTTCCCACTGTCATTTTTTAATGGCACTTGAGGTGTGGAGGAAGGAGGCAACACAGGTCCAGCCTAGCATCTTGCACTGATCTTCGAAATGCACAAAGGCTTCTTTTTTTTTTTTTATGATGTGCAACAAATTTTGGCCTAGAATGGTTAATGGTGAATAAATACTTATGCATGGGAAGAATTTTGTATTACAGTTTTAGCTGCTGGGGTTTGACTGTTCATTTTCTTGGAGATTTTTTTACTGTTTCTTTGCATGTGTAGTAAAGGAATAATCTCAGTAGGTTTTCCAAGTTTTCAATTAGAATATTTTAATTCGTTCCATTTTGGGGACAGTGTTAGTTTCCTATTGGTGCTGTAGCATGTTAGCGTGAATTTAGTGGCTTAAAACAACACAAATTTACCTTATACTTTTCAAGGTTAGAAGTCCAAAGTGAGTTTCACTGAGCTAAAATCAAGGTGTCAGTAGGCTGTGAGAGAGAACCCATTCCTTCCCACTCCTCCAGCTTCCAGAGGTTGCCTGGGGGTCCTGACCCTCCCTTCTTTGTCAGAGCAAGCCTCTCCCAACCTCTCCTTGACTGGGACCCTCCCGCCTTGCTCTTATCTGGTTTCTTGTGATTTGATTGAGCCTGGCTGGATAGTCTAGAATAATCTCTTCATTGTTTAATCAGATATGCAAAGTACCTTGACTGGTAAGGTAGTATTTACAGGTTTAGGATGTGGTTGTAGTAGGATACACCTAACACAGGTATTTCTACCTCAACTTCCACTGTAACTTTTTTCTTTATATCATCCCTTAAAACTGCTGTCCAGAAGGCTTAGCTGAGAACCATCATTCGTTTTTCATGAACAGAATTTGGACCTAATTCTTAGGAATGTTGGAAGGATCAGTCTATCTGATTTTTAGTTCGTTTTATTATGACACTTTCAGGAAACTCTCCAGATGATGTGGTCTAGCTCACATGGCATTTACAGTGTGATGAGCATGAACAATGGCATTTTGTTTTGCTTTTTTTATGTTAAAAGTATGTAGAGAGACTTTTCATCAGAAAAATACTTCATGTAAACAAAATTTCATTGTATTAATTTGGAAAACTATAAACTTTTTACTTTTTAAAATTTATTTACTCAACATTTAATTTTTAAAAAAATCCACTTTGAAATACAGATGATGTACAACAATAGCAAGAACTACCAAAAAGACAAAAGTTTTATTCTGAAATCTAAACATTTAGGGCAGCAAAGTAAAGAATTTTTTGAAAATTTCAGTGTTATTCTATTTTCCTCTATCTTTTTATTGGAAATAACAGTTTACTTTTTTTTATTGGCTTCCCCTCATAATGTCTTTATAATCGAGACACTTTCTATGTGTTTTTTTGTTTCTGTCTTTATAGCTTAAGAAATGTATCAAAACTCCAGAAATCCCTTCTAAACATGTGAGAAACTGGGTCCCAAAAGTGTTGGAACAACGACGACAGGGTCTGGAAACATATTTGCAGGTAAGATGTGTTTACACTCTCAATTAATATAATGCAGTTTAAGTAATCATTTAGCTCAATATTTTTTTTCTCATGGCTTATGGATGAAATACAAAAGGTAAGAAGCAACCAAACACTCTAGATTAAAATAAAGTTTAAAATGATAGATATGTGGTTAGCTGGTTCTTTCAGCTTTAATCAGGTTCTGTTTAAAATTGGTTAGGTGGATCAAGGAAGTGGAATTTTAGTATAAAGGTAAAAACTGATGTCAAAAGCATCTGTCCATTGTTGTTGTTTTTTAGTTCAGCTCTACAAAATAGATTTATTGCTTTCTCATAGTATTCCCTTTAAGTTTTGGGTGTTGGGGAGACAGTGAGAGAAACGAAATAATTTCTAGTGGGCCTGGCTAATATATCTTTGGAATCAAATTGAGAATGAGTGTATACAAATTGCTTCTAATGAAGTGCCAACTTCTTTGAAAACCAGAATTTATGTTTTTAAAAGAATGCAGTAGGTTGCTTTTTTTTTGCACTGAGAATTGCAAACAGAATTACCAAAATAAGGTAGACAGAAGTTCTCTGTCTCTGCTGAGTGACAGAAAGAGCAAGAGGAGAGTGTCAGCTTCTCGGATTTAAAACAAAAACACCTAGAGGGCTCAGGTGACTATTCACTGTGGTCATCATTATCCAAGGGACACAGCCCAGGGTGAGCACTGAGATGAGGTTGGGGGGTGGGTGCAGCCTGTGGCAGCTGTGTGTTCAGACAGGACACCTGAGTCTACTTCAGAGGCTGACACATGAGAAGGCCCGAGGTAGTATGAGATGAGGGGTTGGGGAGTCTTGGCTCTCAAAGAAAAGCTGGATTTCACCTAAGAGTTATGAATTTACCATGATGATCCATTCTTATGTAAGACATGCTACATCAAAGTTATTGGCAGCCATGACTGTCTTCTTCCACTGATACCTTCCTGACCCCTTTAGCACTGACCCTGGGTTGGGTTCTGTTCAGGAGGGCAGCTGAGAGCTGTGTTAAGCCAGCATACTATTTCCTCTACAGAACTTTTCTGAGTGATTTTACCTGAATAGCTGGTGATTAGAGGCTGTGGAGAAGCTGTCACTAAAGGCTTGTATTAGTGATAGATTCAGAGGACTCTCTCCCTGTGGACAGATGCTGAGTCAGTCTCTCCTGGCCTTCTGTAGTTTTCCTGGTCTTTACTCTGCTTGGATAGGAAAGCAGACAACTGGCAGCCCCCAGAGCATCTGAGGAGGGCTCTCTTTACTGTTTCTGCTCTTCTGCTTTTGCACGTGGTGGTGAGTTCTTCACTGGCTCTCCCTGGGAGTGGGAGATTAAAGGAATTGGGGCCACAAACAATAGGAAAGTGTGTGGCTGTGTGCTTTGAGAGTATGGATATGGAGCTAATAGACATCCAGAGCTTCAGGCAATACTGCAGAGTAAAACCAAACCAAAAACTAAAACACAAGACTTTAAACATTGTATGCAAAGGGTAAAAATGCATGTTCTCTATAATTAAATAGTGTAGGTAAACAATGTGTTCTTATTTGTAAGGCAGATTTTCTAAAGATCCTGTGGATCTTCAAGCTTTAGTTTTGAAGAAAGCTTTATTCTTTTTCCTCCCATTGTATTTGACACATGACTTCCATTACTGCACAGTGTAAACATTTTAAGTTGTTTGTACTTCGAATATAAATATGCGGCTAAAATCATCTGGCACAGAGAGGAGTTTACAGTGACAGTCAAATGGAGCTTAGAATTCTCTAGTCTCAGAAACGGCTTGAGAGATGCGGTTGAAGTACTGAGAGGGCTTGTTTCCTATTGTGCAGTTAGTATTCAATTTGTTGTCAACTGAATCCCTGTGGATGTCACTTCCAGTCAAGATGGCGGGGAGGAAGACATGGCTCTCGCCTTTTTGCACAACCACATCAAAATTAAAACTAAAGTGTAGAACAACCATCACTCAGGAACATTGGAAATCTAGTTGAATGGAAGTCTGACAACTACGAAATGGAGTTGAATGGAAGTCTGACAACTATGGAATTAAAGAAACCACATCCATCCAGACTGGTACAAGGGGTGCAGGTGCGGAACGGGCTGGACCCACACCCACATGTGGTGGATAAAAATTTGGGAGAGATATCTCAGGAATGAGGAGTCTCCGCCCTGCACCAGGCCCCTCAACCCAGGGTCCCAGTGCCAGGAAGATAAATCCCCACAGTTTCTGGCTGCAAAAACCAGTGGGTATTGAGTCCATGGAAGAAACTTCTGGAGCCCCAAGTAATTCCTCTTAAAGAACCCACACATGGACTCACCAACTCAGACTCGCTCCCTTTGAGCTCCAGCACCAGGGCAAGAGCTTAAAAGGCACCAGTGATAAACAGGGAGAAGCTGAAGTATCTGGCATCAAGGTAAAGAGAAGCCATTGTCCCTTTTCTGAATTCTCCCCCCACAGAGGTGGGAAGCTGGTGCCATAGCTGACACTCCATCCACCTGGCTAACACTGTTTGACCCTTCTTAGAGATCCCCAGAAACTCTGTCCCACCCACCTTGTGGGCCATCCCAAGCTGCTTTTCTGTATGAATGGCTGGTCTTGGCTCATGCTTCACTACTTCCTGAGTCCTATCAAACAAGCAAGAACTGGCTTCCGTGAACATCAGGCACTACACTGGGAGCAGCCAACTAAGATTCACAGCTTGGCTTCACCTGGGAATCTCCAAGTCCAGCAGAAGTAGCAGCCATCTCAGATTGCTTTAAAGCTCAGGCAGGGCACCCTAGGGAAAACACAAGTGGGGGTTGACCTTGGCCTGTATGACCCAGGAAACCTCAGGACCAGCATATCCAGTGGACAGCTACAGACCATGTCAGAACACTGCCACCCTGCTCCTGCACAACTGATCCTCCACAGAGGGCAGAAGGTGGTGGTCAGTGATAATAGCCAGTCCTTACAGCTGACTGACTGGGCTAAATCCCTCTCATTGACCTGTCAATAGTAACAAAGGCTCCACTACAAGAGGAGGATGTACTCAGCCGACCCAAAGGATGCACCGTGAGTGCCCAACTTCGGTATTAGGGGAGGCTGTGCTACTGGACCCTATAGGATACCTACTCCACTAGGCCACACTACCAAGACATGGAGTCAAAGCAGCTCTACCTAATCCATAGAAACAAACACAGGAAGGCTGCCAAAATGAGGAGGCAAAGAAACATGGTCCAAATGAAAGAACAGATCAAAACCAGAAAAATAGCTAAACAAAACAGAAATAAGTAAACTATTGAATACAGAGCTCAAAATGCTGGTTATAATGGTGCTCAAGGAACTTAGTGAGGACCTCAGCAGCATAACAAAGACCCAGTAAGAAACGAAGATAAACTAACTAAAATAAAGAACAGTTTACAGGGAAACAACAGTAGAATGGATGAAGCTGAGAATCAAATCAATGATTTAGAACATAGGGAAGCAAAAAACAACCAATCAGGACAAGAAGAAGAAAAAAGAATTCAAAAATATGAGGATAGTCTAAATAGCCTCTGGGACAACTTCAAGTGTTCCAACATTTGCATCATAGGAATGCCAGTAGGAGAAGAGAAGAGCAATAAATTGGAAGTCTATTTCAAAAAATAATGAAAGAAAACTTCTCTAATTTGGTAAAGGAAATAGACATGAAAGTCCAGGAAGCACAGAGTCCCAAACAAAGTGTATGCAAAGAGGCCCACTCTAAGACACATCATAATTAAAATGCCAAACGTTAAAGATAAACAGAAAATCTTAAAAGCAACAAGAGAAAAGAAGTTAGTTAACTACGTGGGAGTTCCTATAAGACTATCAGATGATTTCTCAAAAGAACTTTGCAGGCTAGAAGGGATTGGCAAGAAATACTCAAAGTCATGAAAAGCAGGGACCTACAGCTAAGATGGCTCTACCCCACAAAGCTCTCATTCATAATCAAAGGGCAGATAAAGAGCTTTCCAAACAAGAAGAAACTAAAGTTCATCATCACTGAGATATTACTATATGAAATACTAAAGGGACTCACTTAAGAAAAAGATCAAAACTATAAACAATAAAATGACAAAAATAGTTGAATCTAAAAAACAAAGAAGAAGGACAGAGACACAATGATGGGTATGGGACAGTGTGTTGGTGGTTGCCAGATGGGAGGGTGGTAGGGCACCATGGGTGAAGAGGGGAGGGGATTAAGAAGTGTAAGTCGGTAGATACAGAACAGCCACGGGAATATGAAGTGCAGTGTAGTAAATGGAGTAGTCAAATGACTTATACACATGGCCAGTGGACATGAACAATGGTGTGGGGATTGCCCGAGGGAGGAGGGGATGCTGGGTGGAGGCGAGCAAAGGAGGATAAGTCAGGACAACTTTAATAGCATAATCAATAAAATACAATTTTTAAAAAGTTACTCAGTATGTATTGGGTTAGCCAAAAAGTTTGTTTGATTTCTTCCATAAGATGGCTCTAGTAGTGCTTAGTTGTCTTTAAAAAAAATTCCCATCTAGTTCAAAGGAGCTTTCTCTCCCTGTTGCACCAGATTAAATTTGCAGGCAGTGGAAATTAGATGGAAATTGTAAAGATGAGTGTGAATGCTTTACCCAAGTGAAGTAAAAACCCTGGCTGAAGTGTCATTTCTTGATAACTTTTGGTGATTAAGTTCCTTTAAAATAAAAAGTGTTTAAAACTAGGAAAAAAAAAAGATGACAGTTATTACTGTTCCTTCTGCTTACCTGTGTAACTCCAGTTAGAATTCCACTCACTCTGAAAACTTACACCTGTGTCAGACTCCAGGGTGTGTGTGTCACCAGCACTTCTCAGCAGACGCCGTCCTGCCCCTAACCCTTCCGGGCATGAGCTAGCTGGGCTGGCCCGGTTCTGGCCCTTAAACCCGAGAAAGTATTAATACTCCAAAGCCATACCATATTCAGCTCATATGGCACATAGATATTTTCTAGTCCAGCTTGCCTTCTGCCCTTTGGTTATGTTCATGACCATCCCA